ATTGTGAAAGACTAAATGCTTTTCCTCTAAGATCAAGAACAAGATAACAATGTCTGTTCTTGCTACTTCTATTTAATATTATATTGGAAGTTCTAGGCCAGGGCAATTGGACAAGAAAACATAATGAAAGACATGAAGTTTGGGAAAGAAGAAGTAAAATTTTATGTCTATTTGTAGAAAACATGAGCTCGCATATGGAAAATCCCAAGACAGCTCCTAAAAAAACTATTTAAAAGAATAAACAAACTCAGCAGGGTCAAAGGAATCAACATATATATGAAAAAATTGATTGTATTTCCACAGAGTAGCAATCAATCAACTGAAAATGAAATTAAAAAGTAACACAAAAACAAAAGAAAAGCAAAATGTATACTCTGAAAACTATAGAACACTTTTGAGAGAAATTAAAGAACATCTAAAGGATATAGGATCACATATCCAATGATTTCATTGATGTGAAAGGTATACAATAGGTAACTCTGTACAGAAAGAAAGTGGATTAGTGGTTCCCTGGGCTGGGAGGCATAGTGTGGTAGAGTTGGGAATGAGAAGTAAATGGTGAGGTGCTTTTTTTAAAAATTCTAATTTGTTATACATGATGGAGAGGTGCTTCTTTTTGCAATAATAAAAATGTTCTAAAATTGGTTTTGGTTATAGCTAGAAAACAAATACACCAAGAGTCATAAATTTTACCCTCTAAATGGGTGAATAATCTCAAGAAAGCTATTTAAAAAAATTAGTTAACAATATAAGATCACTCCAGTCAGAATGGCAATTATCAAGAATACAAGTAACAATAAATGTTGGCAAGGGTGTGCGGAAAAGGTTCATGTACACATTGCTAATGGGACTGCAAATTGGTGCAACCAGTAATGGAAAGCAGTATGGAGATTCCTTAGAAAACTTGTAATGGAACCACCATTTGACTAAATTATACCACTCCTGGGTTTATACCAAAAGGACTTAAAATCAGCATACTACAAGTGACACAGCCACATCAATGTTTACAGCAGTTCATTTTACAATACTCAAGCTATGGAACTAACCTAAGTGCCCTTCAACAGATGAATGGATAAAGACAATGTGGTATATAGACACACAATGAAATATTACTCAGCCATAAAGAATGAAATTATGACATTTGCCAGTAAATGGAAGGAACTGGAGAATATCATGCTAAGTGAAATAAGCCAATTCTAAAAAAACAAAGGCCACAAGCTCTCTCTGCTTTGTGGATACAAATATTCTCTCGGCTTTATGGATTTCACAACTAGGGAGGTTGGAAAGGAGAAGAATAGAAGTCCACAGGATTAGACAAAGTACAATGAAGGGAAGGGAGTGGGGAGGGGAATATGAAAGACAGTAGAATTAATCGAAAATCACTTTCTTACCCTTGCATATGAATACACGACCAGGGTAACTCTACAACATGTATAACCACAAGAATAGGATCCTAATTAGAATAAATATACTCCACGTATGTCCAATATGTCAAAATACTCTACTGTCATGTATAGCTAAAGAAAACCAAATATATGTGATCATAGTTTCATAGTATTTACTATTTTTAATTTATAATTTACAAATTCTTATGATACATCCTTTATTCATATTTTATAACTTTGCCTTTGTTGTATATCAAAAATGTGATGAACTTGCTCATATCAATTCTCTTCTAATTCTATATTTAGTACCCTAAGCAAAATACCTAGGGAAATTATCCTTGCTAATAGTAGATCAATGTTTTACATTTCTCTTTAAAACATATTTAGTATTTTCTTTCAATAGTATGTATATTTTAGAACATGATCAAACTATCCTATGTACATGTATGAATATACCATAGTACATTTCAAAATTATGTATATCTATATTGCACTAATTAAAAAAATAATAGGGAACAATAAGTAAAGGTCAAGAAGGGGAAGGAAGAGGGGAGGAAAAGGGGAAGTACTGGGAACTGACCTGGAGCAAAATTATATTCTATAGTTCTATGAGTATGTCAAAATGAACCCAATATTATATCTATAATAAAAAAATAAAAATAATAATACCTACCTTTTAAACTTGTTTTCAAATTCAGGATATCGTGCAGGTATTTTAAGTTTTATTTTTTGCTTTTATTGGTGCATTACAGTTGTACATAAGGACTGGGATCATTTTGACATAATCACACATGATGAAATTTCATTTACTCCATTCAAGTCCCTAATGCCCCCTTTTCCCCTTCCCTCCTCCCTGTTCCCCCTATTTCTACTCTACTAAGCTTCATAACCCCTTTTAACAGTTTTTTTAAATCCCTTTAAGTCTTAATAATTTTAGACATTGTATGTATTGCTGAATTTTTGTGCACATACCCAAGTAATTCCTAGCAAGATTGAGATACAGAAATTTCCAGCATTCTTTCTTCCTGTCCTAGTTAATATTTTGACTTCTACTTTTATAAATAAGATTGACCTATTTTGACTCTACATAAGTGGAATAATCATATAGTACAAAATTTTGTTTGGCTTTTAAAACAAATTCATAAGATTCACCCATGTTTTTATATGTAGTCAGTTTGTTCTAGTTTATCACTAGGCAGTATTCCACTGTATAAATATTGTTATTTATCCCTTCTGCTGAAGAATGTTTTGGTGGTTAGAAATTTTGGGCTACTGAGAAGCTTACTATGAACACTTTCATACGTGTGTTTTGTGGATGTGTACAATTCATTTTTCTAGAGCATATATTTAGGATTAGTACTGTTGGTTCATCAGGGAAACATGTTTAAAAGTTTTAATAGACACCACCAGTTTTCAAAAATGGCTTTCACTAATTTACAGTTTAACTATCAATGTATAAGTTTTATTCTGTATCAATACTACTTTATCTCCTTGGGTTTTTAATTTATATTTCTCTGTGACTAATACTGCTAACCACCTGTTGGGCTGAATTTGGCCAATGAGCTTGAAGTTGTTGACCTTTGTCTGACCTCATTTGGCCACTCTTCAATCTTTCCCAGTTCTTCCTGTCTCCCCTCCTATGAATGTTGGTGCCCTGAGTTCAGTTCTCTGTCAAGCTCAGTTCTCTGTCGACATCATTCCCTTGTATCTAACTCAGATTTACCATATTTTTGAAGTTATAAATTCCTAGTTTTAATCTGTTCTTCGCTCCTGAATTTCTAATGTATTCTACTGTTTATTCAGACCTCTTCTCTACCCTTCTAATTGCTCTGCCTTTCTCTGAGACTTATCTTGGTAAGTCACAGTTTTATCCTTCTGATTGTTCAAGCCAAAAAATGTAATCCTTGGTTATTGGTTTTTGCTTCTAAGTAAATCCTATTGGTTCTTTAGAAACCTGTGTTGAACACAACTGATTTCACTATTTCCATTGCTAACTCATTGTAGTAACCTTCTAAATAGCCCCATAGCTTCCACACTTTGTGTTCCTAGTCTGTTTTAAAATATCAGTAGTAGAGGTCCTTTTAAAATATACATCAGATCCTATTAATTCTTCATTCAAAATCTGTCAATAGTTTTTCAGCTCACTTAATTTAAAACTAAGAGGTTCCAGCAATCCAGTGTCCTATTATTTCTGAGTTAATATTTTCTTTACTCACTCACTTGATTCTAGCCATTCTGGGTTTCTGGCAGTTTCTGGAGCACTTTGGTCTTGTAGTGATAGTTTCTGTTCTTGAATGGATTTATCCAGATATCTGTATGGCTTGCTTTGTAAACTTTTGTTTTTCACAAAAGATCTGAAATTTGTGAGGTCTTTCTGTTATTTAAAATACGAACTTCATCTTGTATTTTCCTGTTTTACCTTGTATAACTTTTTTTAAAAAAGCATTTATGGTATTTATGCTTTGTAGTTTATTTCTATTAAAATGTAAGTTCTACAAGGGCAGGGATCATTGATTTCCTAATATCGAAAAAATGGATGGTACATGGGAAGTGTTCAGTAAATATTTAAGTGAATGAATGAATGCTGGAAAGAGCATGAGATTTTAAAAGTTAAACAGTATAAACTGAACTCCCAGCTTTATTATTAGTGGTGTGAATTTCAACAATTTACTTCAATGGTGTCTCTAAGACTTAATTTCTGTAAAATAGGAATATATTTCTCATGACACTACACTATGAAGTAAATAAAATGTTTATGAAGACCTTATCATAGACATTCAAATATTGATCTACTCATCTCTCCCCAAGAAAACCCCTGGTAGTCCCCTCCCCATAGTTTTTTACAGTATAATCAGTTTCCTTTTGAGCAGTACAATTTCTACATTTTCAGAATAAAGTTATGGAAATATGAGTTAAAATCATGAATTTTTTTCAAGAATTCTCTCCCTTTGCTTGATGTTTACTTCTCAAGCAATTTTAAATAAATGCATCTGTTTTAAGTATGGCACTAAATTAAGCAAGATTTAAATACCATATTGCCTACTAAATTGTGCCTGTCCTTTTATTAATTTATTAATTTCATTTAAAAAATATGAATATCAATATTTTGATTATGATAAAATACATCTTATATTATGAGAAATATATGCCATTCTACTTTCATAATATCTGTCAGAATGTTATACCTAATTTGTCATATTTCAGAAATATTTTCCATTAAAAATTCTAATGTACTTTGTGCTTTTTACACTATTATGATTTTCTGCTTTTGTACTTTGCATTTGAAATATTTTTCCTACATATTTAATCCATAATTAAAAGTTTTGACATTTTACCTTCATCCTTTGCATTTTCTGAAATGCCTTTAAAATCAATAATTTCCTAAAAATATCTCAAAATATGCAGTAAGAAATTCCTTATTATGTAGTAATAGAAGAGGTAAATAAGGACTAAAATAAAGCTACTGACTTATGAACTCTTTGCAAATTCTCTAAGACTATCAATGACAAAGGAACACACTTTAAAATATAAAGAATATTAGATAAAACTTTTATTTTGAATGTGATTTAGTCGTATGTTCAAACTAAAGAATTATGTATAATTTACTGCTTGATCAAAATTAACAAAATTATAAACTATATTTACAACTCAAATTGACAAATCACTTTCTAAAGAAAAACTCTCTGCTTCATATTATCATAATTTTCCTATGGAGTACAGGCAAAGAATGAAGTTATGTTGTACCACAGATGGTTATTAAAAGCAAATGAGGATAGTTTGAATAAGACATACAGACATAATTTAAAACAAACATTAGGGTTATTTTCTCTGAAAAGTTAGCTTGCAAATGAAAAGAATCAGCCCAAAACCACATATTGTAATAGCTGTCCTCTTCAAAATTCTACTCTTCCATGTAGATACTTCTTCCATTAATGGTATATGAGTTGGATCATTTTCCCGTTCATTTTGCAGCTAATATTTAGAATGGAAAAAAGAAAAGAGTTAATATGCAATAAACTGAAAATAAAACATATTTTGATCCGAAAAAATAGATCCATATTAATTTGCTTGATTTTGGGGGGGGCAACTCAAGATTCTAATGAATATTTAAAGTGAACACATATCTTGAAAGACAGTCTTTCACCATTATCCCATTGCTGTAAATTATTAGTTTTACTTTAAAAATAAATGCTTTCATAGATTATCACATTTTAAAATGGTGTTTTTAAGTTGTGAGATAAAGTTTCTTTAATGTTAACTTAAAGTTTGTATTTTACCTGTGAGGAATAACAATTGATATTTATTTACTTTCATATTAAATACCAATTAATGTCTTAAAAAGAGTGAACCATTCTTGTAACAAACCTACAATACATGAAATTCAACAAAAACTGGAAGATCAGATGCTTATGCTAGAAACTTAATACTTTATTTAAATATAATTGCAGAAACAAATGTCAACAAAAACTGAAGTGGTCCTTTTACAAATAATGTGTTAAAGAAGCCTCATGCAGTGTGGGAGCGGGGAAATAGGGAGACAGGGCAGGAGGCAGGGAGAATGGAGGGAAGGAAGAGAAGAAAGAAAGGAAAGGAGAAATGGCTGCTGGGGATGGGTCAGGAGGAAGAGAATAAGCAGAAACCAAAAGATCCTTGAGATAAAAAGAATCAGGCACATTTATAGAGTGATATTTACTAGAAACATCCTGTGCTGGAGTGGTGATATAAATACTTTCAACATCAGCAGAAATAACGACTTCTAAATTCTACAGTGTAAATATTTAATTTTAAAAGCCTGCAAAATTAATTTTAAATTTATAGCAGAAAAACAGACTTCAATGCCAATCTCATTAAGACTATATTCTTGGTGTAACTTCCAAATGGCTTCATTCAGCAACAGATTCCTTTTTGACACTGATGCTCCATTTACTGAATCCTGAGACAGTCATTCCTTTTATTAACCAATTACTTAGAATGACCCTTTCTGACAGGAGCTGTCAGTGTGTTGGTTCAAAAGAGAGTGATGTGGTGTTAAAGTCTAGCCTTGACCTCTCCCACCCTCTCTCTTTGTTACTTCCATAGATTTATCTGTGATAACTCATGTTTCTTTTTTTAAAAATCCCCTTCAGTTATTATTGGTAAATTTTGAAATGTTACAAACTTAACAAGCATAATAATATATTCCAAACCTGGAAGCCATAATAATTCCTAAGTCAAATCCCATTATGATAATTACTACTTGAAAACTTATCTCAAAAAAATCCATAGCTTGCTCAAAAATTAAGATTTTCCTGCCTAGAGAACTGTGTATGCTATTATTATATGCATTTCCTTAATAATGTGTGTTCTTAAGGCTAATCCTTATACAGAAATTTGTAAATTCTAGATAGAGAAGGTCACAGAAAAAAAGGCCTTCTATGTAGCCAAAGAAAGATGAAAATTTTCTTTAAAGGTACACTTTATCAAAATAAAATTTATGGTACTTGAATGTATTATCTATGTTTTAAAGTCAGTAAGTCTCTAAAGCCATGGTTCTTAATTTCATTCATTTCAGAAAATTCTGGTTCTCTCTTTCCAATTTTATCTCAGGATTCCATATGCACTCCCCACTTACCCACTCCATCTTTGTAACTTTGAATTGGAGAAACCAAATTAATAACCAACCTTGAGGCAAATATGTCTTAGGGAATTTCCTACATTAAAACCTGATTCTTTGTGAAGTTTCCATACACAAAGCCTTCCAAATTTTCCTTGAATCCCCACAAAAAATATTACGTTAAGTTAAATATTCTTCTAGATAAGTTAGAGGTATTGAATATGAATGGTGCTATAATTTTTTGTTGTCAGCAAGTTCAGGCTCTATCTAGCTTGTGCAGAACAGGTGGCTGACATACAGCAGGCACTCCTATGTTAGCTGAATGAATAAAGTCAGAACACAACTTCTAAAATACCTCTTTCATGACTAAAGAGTTATTTTCTCAGAAAATTATAAAATTTATTGCTTATTTCCCCATTTAAAATATCTTCTTCCCACTATTATTTTGTAGAAAATTTGCTTCACAACTTTTTTTATTCTCACTTTTAAAAGACTCCTATTGATTAAACATTGTTATAGTCAGAATGAAAAACTAGCTGGAACATGTATAAAGTTTATTTTGAGGAAAATACCTTTAAAAAAATCTTTCTTAGTTGTCAATGGACTTTCATCTATCTATCTATTTATTTATTTAATTTTTATGTGGTGCTGAGAATTGAACCCAGTGTCTCCAGTGTCTACAGTAGTAGAACCCAGTGCTCTATCACTGAGCCACAATCCCAGCCTGAGGAAAATACCTTTTTTGATATACTGTTAGTGAACATGTTGAATGAATTATAAGTAGAAGCTGTAAAATTTAATATATAACCTAACTTTCACATAATATACATCCAAAAGCATTATAGAAATAAAATTTATTTATTAAATAGACATGAAGAACTCAGAAATGAGTTCCTTAGTTGCCTCTAAATGTTTTCCTTTACTCTCTTCTCCTTCAATAAAGGTTCCTATTTTTAGCAGTTCAGATCTTGGTATAGCTAATTTTCTTTAAATTACCTGCCTGTAAAACCAGATATATACTTCTATGTGAATATAAAAACAGAACCCAAAAGACCTACACTCTTTAAAAAACAGAAGTTAAATTACAAGTTACTATAGAAAGTCTGGCCAATAGAAGAAATATTTCATCCACCATATATTAACAGAGCTATATTTCATTTTGGCCTTTTTGCAACTATATAAGTACTGAAGAAAGAAATATTTTTAGAGTCTTTGGCACATCTTTCCAGACCATTTTTGAAAAGTGTGCCACAAGTTTCATTGAGAATGTCAGTCTGGTAAACTCCACTTAGAAAGAATATCCCTGGAGTGATACCCTTTCCTTTGCTAATCAAACACAAGAGGAGGATATGTTGTTTCTTCAGTATGCATTTCCTTAATGACCAACAAAATTTGTTTTCCATGTATATTTCTTACTTTGAATATTGTCCTTTTCCCACTTGTCTAAGTATTCTACTTGTTACTCTTATCAGAACTGTTCCATTGTCAAGCATTTTTTGTTGTAAAACATTTCCCATAATTACCCACTCCCCTTTTTAATGTTAAGTATATACCTTTTGAATTAAGTCTTTTAGTTTGCAGACTTCTTCACTCAAATCTTCAACATTACTAACAAGTTCTTCACAAACTGAAGTAAAATTCCGGGGAGAAGCCCATTCTAGTACTATCTGTTAATATTTTCAAAAATTACATTTTAAATAATGGAAACAACTTTATCTAACTTTACATGCACAATGGTTATAGAGAATTTCTAAACATTACATTATATATTTGAGAAGAATTGTTTTTCAGGATAAATCCTGACACCAAAAAGAAGTCAGTAATTTTATATAAATAGTAATTTTATATAAACAATCAGTAATTTTATGCAAATAGTTAAATCAGATTGCTAAATGCACTTCCTAAGTATAGTTACATATAACACAGAAATTAACGTAATAATATTTCTGGTGAACAAATCAACTCATGAAAGTTTTTTAACTTTCATGAAATGATTCCCATACTAGTATTACATAAGATCATAGGAAAACAAATGCATTTAATTTTTTTTTTTTTACTAAGACAAACATCTAAAACCTTAATCATGTGAAAAACTCTAGAAAATAAGTTTGCTTTAGCTGGTCACTTACACTTTCTCTCTAAAACTCCCTGAACTAAAACAACTTTATATTGATAATAGTTTTTTAATAACACTCAACACACTGTTTTGTTTCAACTTTCACTTGGGTCTCCTGTCACTTTATATTTTAAACAATTAAATCCACTCTAAGAACAAATGGGAAGTTCAATACATAGATTGGTTTAATTTTTCTTCTGATTCATTTTCCTTTGCCTGAGGGTGAGAACACAAATTTTTTCAATTAATCAGTACATAAAGGAATAATATTAAACTAATTTACTTAATTGGATATTACATTGAACAACTGATATGATTTTACCAGATCAGTACTTTTTATTGAATTATCATGAACTTTCTTCAGTATTCATACTTTTTTTCACTTAATAATTTTGGTATAATACCTTATGAGAATTTACAGGTAACTCAGTAATGATATTCTGCACAGCTGTAATTAAATGGCCACACTGTTTGTTTAATTTCAGAAGAAAGTTGAGGAATTCATCACCACTAAAGAAAGAAAACAAACAGAAATCATTTAAGAGCAATTTACTTCCTTCTATTGTGCTAGATACAAAAAAAATATCTAGTTATAAAATTAACAGATTCTTTAAAATAGATTAGGTAATATGTATTGGGAACTGAATTAGACCTTGAATTACACCAATTAAAAAAGAGGAAAAAAATAAGTCTTCAATAATAAGGATCTCATACTTCAAGATGAATGAAGACACACACTATAAAATTGTTATTTATAGGAAGAAGGAAGGAACCAATACTAAAATATCTACTATATGAAGATACTCTACTACTTATTTTTACATTCATTATTTCTTCCAATCCTCTCCAACAACCACTAATGTTAATGCTAGTTTACAACTGAGATATCCATAATTGAGTTATTAAATGATTTTAAACAAGAAAGTAAAAAAATCTGACTTTTGTAGAAGAAAGTTTATTGAAAGAGTGGTGTGGATTAAAGGAACACAAAAATCAAATTAGAGAGAATAGCTGGGAGACTAATAGAAAGATACATCTAAGAGATGATGAAGGAAAGCTTAAACTAAGGATCTGACAGCCTCATTGGAAGGAGGAGGTTGAGTGGTAAAAGTTGGTAACAAACTTTTAAGATAATAATTTGAAAAATTTCATGATAGATTGCATGTGAAATAAAAGGGAGAATCTAGGATAATTCTCAGTTATTTGCTTTCAACGAAAGTTGGTGCCAAGCAGAGAACTGAATTTAAGGATGGGTGGTAAGGAGAATAGGGGATGAAGAGAAAACACTGTGGCATAATAATTAAGAGCACGGACTCTTGCATCAAGAGTCAACCTGTTTGGAATCGGCTGCCATACTTACTAGCTTTATGAACCTGAGCAAGCCTAATCTCAAGCCAAATGTTTCCATATCTCTAGAATGGTGACAACAGCACTTTCAGGAGGACTGCAGGAGGCAATATAAAGCATTTTGTCTAGCAAACAGCTGGCATTCAAGCAGACTTAATTATGCTAATAACTGCAATGATAATGAAGACAGGCAGGTGGCAACCACTAGTATGTAGTAGATAATGTAGGTCTGACAAGGTATTTATCCTGAGGTCTAAGGACTCCTGAGGTTAGATATAATTCAGAGAGAGGTTCATCGAATTCCGTGGGGGAAAAAAATTACATTTTTATTTTCACTAACCATTAACTGGAATTCAGGCTTTCTTGTGAACATAATAACAAATCATAATGATTTGGACAACAGAAATCAAAATTATGGTCACAAAGAAGACAGAGAAAAAGGGCATACTATGAAGAGAGGAGAATTGATAGAAGTGAACAAAAAAAGACATTAAAAGAAAAGTAGTTTTAGAAGTAGAAGAAAATAAGGAGTTAAAAGTTATTATGAATTCCAGTAAAGGTGATGATTTCAAGAAGAAAAGGTTAAGCACATTAAATAAGGTAACGCCATTGATTTTGGCTAAGAGAAGATGCTACTATTGACCTTTCAGTAATAAACTAATTTACAATGAAAAGTACAAAGATACACAACTTAATAGATAAGTTAGTCAAGGATGTGAACAGCCCATTCAGAGAAAAAGAAACAAAAATTGAAAAGATAATAAATAATGGGAATTCAAAATGCTACATTCTACCAAAATGACAAGAATTAAGTAGATCATTAACATCAAGAATTGACAAATTCATGAGCTGACCTTTCTGGAGAAGGCTTTAATAGTATCTACTAAAATAAAAATGGACACAAAATCTATTGCTATAGGACCAAATGATACTTTTAAATCCAAACAGAAATTTTTCGATGTAGAATTCTTTCAATATAAACTATATAAAGTTTCTTTTACACCATTTCTGGGAGGAAAGGTTATACAAAGCAAGCAAGGTCAGCCTTAAGTGAAACTAATAGCAAACTATTCTCTAAGACACCTTACAAGAATGTATATAATATTTTCATTTAGGAAAAGTCTTCTCTTAGCTTGAAAAAAATTAGGCTGAAAAATTAAGTTTTATAAAATATAAACTTTATGAACATAATAGGTGTACACACACACACACATTCTCATCACCAACAATGAAAAGGACCTTATGGTTGCTTTCAATAAGCAAATTGCAAATTAAAAATTTATACTATTTAGCAAAAAAAAGTATTTATAAAAGTATTTTCAAAGTACATATAATTTTTATTCCATTTCCTTTCTGATCTTTATATAGAACTTAAAGAATATAAGACATTTCTTCTACCCAAGCAACAGCACTAATTACTTTATTTTTGTTTCCAGGTAACATTTATTTCTACTTACAATTTAGAACTTAGTGCTCTTTAAATATGCAAATTTTGTTCACTATCAAATAAAAAGAATAACTACTCAACAAGTAATTCATTAATGTCATATATATTTCATGAACTCAAGGAAATTATGATCCATTGAGAACTGCCATTCAAAGTATCAAGTGATATCAGTTATATAATTCCGGTACATGATTTGCAGATATACATGGGGAATATTAATTTATCAGCTCTTATTCTAAAAACAGTAAGGAACGCAATAGGAACTCAGTTAAAATAAGCAAATAATATTATTAGCAAAACCACAGTTTTAATAAATGTAAAGAAAATATATACCTATCTTGTGACTAATTTTCAGGGCCACTGAGTATAGACAGCCAAATCATACAAAACAAAATCTTCAGAGTACCATTTTTTATCTTATATTATGTGAATGGTGTCTCTCCATCAGAACCATACGTTGTATAACCTACACAACTTTGCATGACAGCCCAAATAATTTTGCACCTATTTAAAGAATTCAAAATAAGCAAATATAACATAGGTATGGCTTATTTGATTGTGTGTGTGTGTGTGTGTGTGTGTGTGTGTGTTTTAACTAAGCTAACTACAACCAGACCCATCCCTGTCAGAGGATTACACTTTATGTTCCCATAACATGAAGCCTGGGCACGTGACTTGCTTTGTCAAATAAAATATAACTGGAAGTAACTGTAACTTTTGAACAGAAGCTTAAAAAGTCACCTACTGGTTCTCCTGATTGTCTAGTTTATTTCTTTTTTTCCCTTTGCCATAGAAAGAGCATATCACAGAATTGGACTGTTCCTTTATCATGTTCTCAGAATAATAATGTGGAAAGTCACTGCAGCTGATCATTAACAACTAAGAAATAAACTTCACTGTTAAAACTGACAGAGATTTAGAAGTTATTTGTTATAACACAATGTAAGTAGACTAATATGATAGTCCATATTTAAAATTTGAAGTCAAGCACTAAGATAAAATTAAAATCTACAATAAAATTATTATATTTAGGTACTATATATTCATTGTAGAATATCTGAAAAAGCTTAAAGCATCAACATTTTTACCATCCAAAGATAATAACTGGTATTAATAATTGATAATAAGTGGAAAATATTGTACCATAATATTTTTTATAGTATACATTTTATTCCAGTACTGTTCTTAGAAATGTACACAAATGACATTATACTTCATGTTTTTTACATCATACTTTTTATGCTTATATTTTAACTATTTTTCCATGACACCAAGGTTCAAAATAATCTTGATAAGAAAAATAATTATATGATGTAATCTAATTCAACTACTTTTTGGATGTTAAATATTTAGTTTTAATTGTAGAATGTATAGATATTTTATTTGTTCTAATTAGTTATATATGACAGTAGAATGCATTTTGACATATCATACATAAAAGGAGTATAACTTCTCATTCTTCTGGTTGTACATGATATAGAATTACACTGGTCATGTAATCATATATTCACAAAGGGTCAGAATGTATGATTCATTCTATTATCCTCCTACCTCCACATTCTCTCCTCCCTTCACTTCTTAGAATGTTTATAAACAATGGAGGTGAACAATATGTTACATGTAACATTTTGGATCTATGTAGATTTTTTTCTTTTTGGAGAAGGAGCAGTTTCTTAATAGCCATAATTCTGAGAAACTTGACACATTCAAGTGGATGTCAGGTAGCTCAGAGCTCAGAGGAAAGATCTGGGCAGAAATTGATAAAAATTTCAGATGTGAAAACTGATTGTTTCTGTTCAAAATATCTCAAAGTTGCTGTGGAATGGCTACTAACATTTTAAAATTGCCCTTTTTATTCTACAAATCTACTAAAGCAGAAAAAAGTAAATGAAGTAAGCATATACATTCTTGGAACAGAAATTATTGTAAAAGATTTTACCCATACAAGAAAAGCATCTTAAAATAAATCAGTAGCTAAATTGTTGAGGTCATATTACCAAGAGATTATAATCAATCAATTCAACTTTTCTTGCTGTTAGTTTTCTTATGACTTAATGACAAATTTCTTCTTTAAAGAATGACTTTGAACAAATGGGAAGTACAACATTTTTCATAACAGCATGTAAACAAAGTCTTTGATTTAATAATAAGGTCAAATTCCTGGAATATATGTCTGCCAGTTTTATTTTTTAAAAAATTCAGCAGTTTTAATAAGTGATCCATTCAGGATTCTGCACATTCTTTAAGTCTATTAAATCCCACAAAGAAAATTCATACTGGCAACTCTGACAGCATACAAATAAATGATATCAGAAAATTTAATTTGCAAGTTGGTTTGTAGAACTTGGCATATTCCTTCACAGAAACAATAATGAAAAAAAGTAAAGAAAATGAACAAACATATTCAAAGTTTGCTGATTTTAAAGTTTTCAAAAATGGAATTCTTTGCAATACATTTTAGGGAAGGGGAAATGTCTATCAGGTAAACTTCATAATAAAGTTTTTAAGAAATCTGAATAAGATAAATTATTCCCTGAAAGACTTCTCTAAATTCTAAAATGGAATGGAGATCCATTTTTATAACAGTTATAATGTTAGCTTTAGACAGGCTGCCCTAGTGATGATACTGTTACATTTTTAAGTGTTACATTTTACAGAATACTGTAATTCATTGGCTATCAATTTATTCCATAAAATTTGTACAGTTAGGTCCCAG